AAAGAGCAGGTTCTGAAATTCTTCGCCGGTGAGTTTCGCACGGATTTCAGGTCTCAGCAAATGTTTTTTTTTTTCAGCTGCTCCCACCTTTTTTTTTTTTCAAAATGAGGTCCGATTTGGCAGTTAATCAGATTGTCTCCGAATTTTTCCATTCAAATCCTATTGGAGAGGCTAGTGAAAGTCTGGACTCTAGGCCAGATTGCCAGAAAACCGTAAGGCCGAGCTCAAAAGCGGGCACATCGGCCGAAAGAGGACGCCCGCGGCTACGTTTTGAGGCCATTCTGGCGCCACCAGGCCCCACAGTTTGGTCGTGAGAGGCCAGAGTTTGACTTTTTCTCGGTGAACGTCCTACAGGGCTCTCAGAGGCATTAACGAACTGACCTAGATCTATCTTTTTGGGCGTTTACTCAGAAAAACCCGGTCCTTTGAGAAAGTTTTGAACAAGCACGCATGGCTAGGTGGGTCCGGACGCGCGTGCCGACTTTGGGCCCGATCCGTGGAACCGTGCGGGAGGAGAAGCGGTCCGCGGAAACGGGAGAACGATACTAATTTGCGTAATAAAAAATATGGCGAAAGAGTAATAGGGGGGCCTTCCGCTGGCAGTGGCCCCCCTAATTATTTGAAACCCACATTTTAGAAGTAGAAAAAGATGTGAATTCTTCTTTAATCTGTGTTTTCTTTCAGCTTGAGTTAAAATCAGGCTTTAGGAACATTAAATGTCAGATGAGGTTAATGTTTTTTCCTTTTCATCTCCTCCAGTGGATGTTCAGAGTGATGCTGGAGAGTGTTTTGAGAACATCCTGAGAAACGTGAGCGCTCCCGGAGTGTCTCAGGTACAGACTCAGGTTAGATCTCACAGATCTATGATTTAAACAAGATGCTAACAGGCTTCGTTTGGTCTCTCTGCAGCTGTTCCAGGGTCAGCTGACACATAAGACCCAATGCAGTAAATGTCGCACTCTGACCAGCTCTGAGGAAACTTTCTCCAGTCTGCCTCTTTCATTTGAAGCATCCAACAAAGACTACAAAGTGGTGAGAAATCAGACAATTCGTTTACTTTGCAGACTCATTTGCATTTGGATCTGTTCTGTTTATTTTAATTATGATAAATCTGCTAAAAAACGGCGCGATTTTGGTCAGAAAGCATTTTTGTAAAACATCACTGCTATTAACGTCTGAAACTGGTCACATTTTAGAGGAATGTTTTGTATTTATTGAGAATTTCAGTGTTTTCTGTTGTAAAATAATAAGGTGTTTCTACAATCCTGCAGAAAATATCAGAGAAAAGTAATAAAATGCATGTTTCAGGTTGATGGCGTTGCTGAGTATTTTGTCCAGTCGGTGGTCAGTGGAGAAAACCAGCTGTTCTGTGAGCGTTGTGATGCCAAATGTGATGCTGCAACGGTGAGTTCAGGCTCTTTTTGCTGTTCCACACGTTTGTTTTCAGGGAACTTGACGCTTTCACAGTGGAAACATTCAAAGTTTATTCTATTAATGTGCAAAAACACCGGCTGAGTCCTTACAGAAGGAAGTTTCTGTGACAGGAGCATATTATTACTTTTTTATAGATCTTTCATTCATTATTTTTCCATTTATTTTTAACACTTTGCAGCACTTAGAGGAGGAAAAAACAGGCTTTTTAAAAATCTTTAATATCCAGGACAGTTTTTTATTGTTCAAAATTTGTCACAAATAGATTAACTTCTAATTCAATTGTGTTTTGGTCAGAAATGTGAAATTGAGCATCATCCAGATGTTTTGTTGCTGCGGCTGAGAAGATTTAAGTTTGAGGGGATTTCCAATTGGCACACTAGAATCAGTCGTTATGTGGAGTTTCCCTACATGCTGGAGATCCCACATGCTGGAGCTGAGGTACTTTACACTGAATGTGTTTATTAAAGTCTTTAAAGTTTTAATCCTGTGGCTGATTTCTGTCATTTTCTCTCTTCTCTGGTTGTCAGACTGAGATTTATGAGCTGTATGCTTTTACTGAACATTTTGGTGGATATGCACGTGGATATCACAATGTTACTATCAAGTCTTTGGATGATGGGAAGTGGTACGACATCTGTGGCAATTCTACCAGATTGGTACGTGTTCAAAGCTATTCTTTAAAAATATCAATACTGTAGTCCAAAAATTATTTTTATAAAAACAAAATATTACTGGATTGTTTTCAGGTTTATTTCCAGCCATTCAAAGAAGGCTTGAGTCACAGGTAACTTCACATCTGTTTTTTTCTTCTTTATTTTGCTGAACATGAACCTGAACTCACTTTCTTTTAACTCCCATCAGCTCCTGGGACGTTTGTCTGCTGTTCTACAGGAAAGGTGAGATTACAAACATTATTAACATGTAAAACGACGAGTTTTCTGACTGACTGGTCGTTTCTGAGTGAGTCCTTTCTGTTTTTTGTTGATCCCTTCAGTTTCTATTGTAGAGACTTTGGGTTCGGGGATCAGAGACGTTTCCGCCTCTGAGAAAGAGTCCAGAAACAGAGAGCAGCAGCGTGGTGATGATGTGGAGACAGCAGGAGGAGAGGAGGTTAGAGGCCCAGCAGCTGGGAGTCAGAAGAAAGAGAACGAGGATAGAGGAGGAGAGGAGGTTAGAGGGGAGGAAGGAGGGGCTACAGGGGGAAAACTGAGAGAGGAGGAGCAGATGAAGAAGACGGGGGGAGAAGAGAGGGCTGGAGGTCCAGACCAGAGGGGAGGAGACCTCCGGGGTCAGGAGGAGAGCAGCAGAGGAGGAGGAGGTGCTGTGGGCTCCTCCTCTGAAGCCTCCAAACTCAGCACCAAGGACAGGGAGCAGCAGGCGGAGCGTCGCTCTCTGGATGAACAGCTTCAGATCCTCTTTGAGGACCTGAAGAAACATGCAGCCGAAACTTGGAACCTCAGTCGGAGCACCAGAGGTACAACAGATGTTTCCAAGTCTTATTTTGTCCGTTTGGGGATGAAAACGAGAGTTTTTTGACAGGATGGAAAAATGTTTTCAGCTGATTTTTATACATCACAGTGTTAATTTCTGGAGGGCAGCTTGGTATTTATTGTTTTGGTCTTCTTCTCCTGCATGAACACACAGAGAGAAAAGACATCCAGAGTCATGAACAATAAGAACAGCATAGAAAATAACCAGGTCAGCTAACAAGCAGATGGAAAAATAACGATTCGAGATTTATCTGGGTAGCATCACTCAGAGTTGATGGAAAATTATTTAAAACCCTCAATTTGTAGAAGTAGAAAAAGATGTGAAGCCTTTTTTAAACTGTGTCTGTCTTCAGGCTGAAGTAAAAACAGGCTTGAGGAACATTAAGTGTCCGATGAGGTTAATGTTTGATCCTTTTCACCTCCTCCAGTGGATGTTCAGAGTGGTGCTGCAGAGTGTTTTGAGAACATCCTGAGAAACGTGAGCGCTCCCGGAGCTTCTCAGGTACAGACTCACGTTAGATCTCACAGATCTGTGATTTAAACGAGATGCTAACAGGCTTCGTTTGGTCTCTCTGCAGCTGTTCCAGGGTCAGCTGACACATAAGACCCAATGTAGTAAATGTCGCACTCTGACAAGCTCTGAGGAAACTTTCTCGAGTCTGCCTCTTTCATTTGAAGACTCCTACAAAGACTACCAAGTGGTGAGAAATCTGATAATACGTTTACTTTGCAGATTAATTTGCATTTAGGGCTTTACTGTTTTTATTAATTATGATAAACCCGCTTAAAAACTGCACCATTTTGGTTAGAACACATTTTTGTAAAACATCACTGCTATTAATGTCTGAAACTGGTCAGATTTTAGAAGAATTTATTTGATTTCTTCTGTTCTTAAATAATAAGCTGTTTCTATAATCCTGCAGAAACTATCAGAGAAAAGTAAGAAAATGCATGTTTCAGGTTGATGGCGTTGCTGAGTATTTTGTCCAGTCGGTGGTCAGTGGAGCAAACCAGCTGTTCTGTGAGCGATGTGCTGCCAAATGTGATGCTGCAACGGTGAGTTCAGGCTCTTTTTGCTGTTCCACACGTTTGTATTCAGGTAACTCTTCAAGTAACGCTTTAACAGTGGAAGCATTCAGAGTTTATTGAATTAATGTGAGCAAAAGCAGGCTGAGTCTTTACAGAAGGAAGTTTCTGTGACAAAAAACTGTATTTTGAATATAATTACCTTTTATAGATTTTTCATTCATTATTTTTCCATTTATTTTTAACATTTTGCAGCACTTAAAAGAGGAAAAAAACTGTTTTTTTAAATCTTTAATATCCAGGAGAGTTTTTCACTATTCAAAATTGAGCAAAAACAGATGAACTTCTAATTCATGTGTGTTTTCATCAGAAATGTGAAATGGTGAATCATCCAGAAGTTTTGGTGCTGCGGCTAAAAAGGTTTAAGTTTGACAGCATTTTCGAATGGCACACTAAAATCATACGTTATGTGGAGTTTCCCTGTGTGCTGGAGATCCCACATGCTGGAGTTGAGGTACTTTACACCGAATGTGTTTATTAAAGTCATTAAAGTTTTATTCCTGTTTTTGATTTCTGTCATTTTCTCTCTTTTCTGGTTCTCAGACTGAGATTTATGAGCTGTATGCCTTTGTTAAACATATTGGTGTTTATACACATGGATATCACAATGTAACTATCAAGTCTTTGGATGATGGGAAGTGGTACGACATCAGTGGTAATGATGTCAGTTTGGTACGTGTTCAAAGCTATTCTTTTAAAAATTTCAATACTTTAGTCCAAAAATAATTTTGATAAAAACAAAAGATTATTGGATGTTTTTCAGGTTAATTTCAAGCCATTCAAAACTGATGAGAATCGCAGGTAACTTCACATCTGTTTTTTTTCTTCTTTAGTTTGCTGAACATGAACCTGAACTCACCTTATTTTAACTCCCATTAGGTGCCGGGACGTTTGTCTGCTGTTCTACAGGAAAGGTGAGATTACAAACATTATTAACATGTAAACCGACGGGTTTTCTGACTGACTGGCCGTTTCTGAGTGAGTCCTTTCTGTTTATTGTTGATCTGTTTCTCGTTGATCCCTCCAGTTTCTGCTGCAGAGACTTTGGGTTCGGTGATCAGAGACGTTTCCGCCTCTGAGAAAGAGTCCAGAAACAGAGAGCAGCAGCGTGGTGATGATGTGGAGACAGCAGGAGGAATGGAGGGTAGAGGGGAGGAAGGAGGGACTAGAGGGGGAAAACTCAGAGAGGAGGAGCAGAGGAAGAAGACGGGGGGAGAACAGAGGGCTGGAACACGGATGCGGACCAAAACCGACCTCTATAATAACCCGACGCAGAACAGAGGAGGAGAGGCCGGAGGTGGAGCCAGACACAACGATGGGCAACACGCGGACAGTGAACGCACCACAGTCAGCCAGAACGGGGATAGGGCAAAATCTGAGGACGGGAAGGAAAACGGGAAGGACAGAGGAGGGAACGTCAAAGAGGACGGAAACAAAGAGTCTGAGGAGGAAAAACAGAGATATGACAAGAAGATGGGAGGTCAGGGAGCAGAAGGAGGTCCAAACCAGAGGGGAGGAGGTGCTGTGGGCTCCTCCTCTGAAGCCTCCAAACTCAGCACCACAGACAGGAAGCAGCAGTCTGAAGCTAAAGCCGCGGCATCTGCCCCCCCCCCCGGTGAGCAGAACCCCCCCCCGCCTGGGCTTGGGAAGGCCGAGCTGCAGCTAAACTGCCCTTTTTTCCCCCTTTTTCCCCCTCCATCCAGAGCCAAAGTACCACGGGCTGTACAACCAGGGCGCCACCTGCTACCTGAACAGCGTCCTGCAGGTCCTGTTCATGACCCCCGGCTTCACAGAGGCCCTGCACAGGTTCGCCAAAGGACTCAGGAGCAGGCCGAAACCAAACAGAGACCCCTGCTCTCAGCCTGTGTTTGTTTCCCACAGACATCCGTGTGGGCGTCCGTCTCTGGATAAAGAGCTTCAGAGCCTCTTTGAGGACTTGAAGAAACAAACAGCTGAAACTAAGAACATCACAAAGAGTCTGGGCATCAACAAAGGTGTCCGATTAACCTCGAAAGTGTTTTAAACCATCTGTATTAAGACTAAAAATGAGATGTGAAGCCTTCTTTAATCTGTCTGTCTTCAGGCTAAAAAAAAAACAAGCTTTAGGAACATTAAATGTCCGATGAGGTTAATGTTTTTTCCTTTTCACCTCCTCCAGTGGATGTTCAGAGTGGTGCTGCAGAGTGTTTTGAGAACATCCTGAGAAACGTGAGCGCTCCCGGAGCGTCTCAGGTACAGACTTCACGTTAGATCTCACTTATCTGTGATTTAAACGAGATGCTAACAGGTTTCGTTTGGTCTCTCTGCAGCTGTTCCAGGGTCAGCTGACACATAAGACCCAATGCCGTAAATGTCGCACACTGACCAGCTCTGAGGAGCCTTTCTGGAATCTGCCTCTTACATTTGAAGAGTCCAACAAAGACTACAAAGTGGTGAGAAATCTGAAAATACGTTTACTTTGCAGAATAATTTGGATTTAGATCTGTTCTGTTTATTTGAATTTTGACAAATCTGCTAAAAAACGGCACCATTTTGGTCAGATCACATTCTTGTAAAACATCACTGCTATTATCGTCTGGAACTGCTCAGATTTTAGAGGAATGTTTTGTATTTATTGAGATTTTCAGTGTTTTCTGTTCTTAAATAATAAGCTGTTTCTATAATCCTGCAGAAAATATCAGAGAAAAGTAAGAAAATGCATGTTTCAGGTTGATGGCGTTGCTGAGTATTTCAGACAGTCGTTGGTCAGTGGAGCAAACCAGCTGTTCTGTGAGCGTTGTGATGCCAAATGTGATGCTGCCGCGGTGAGTTCAGGCTCTTTTTGCTGTTCCACACGTTTGTTTTCAGGTAACTTCATGCTTTAACAGTGGAAACTTTCAGAGTTTATCAAATGAATGTGAGCAAACGCAGGCTGAGTCTTTACAGAAGGAAGTTTCTGTGACAGGAAACTGTATTTGGGGTCTCTACAAACTCTTTTCTGGTTAATAAATTACTTTAAAGGATGATTTTGTGCTTTTTTTTTACCCAGACGGCATCAAGGTTAAAGGTTACAGAGAAGCATAACAAACTGAGCACAAACAAACTGAATATTTGTTCTTTTCTTATCTGGTTTTTATCACTTGAACTCCTGAGGCTCCAGTGTTTCCGACAGTTTAAAGTATCTATTTTTCTATTTGTTTCTTCTATCATAGAAAACTTTGAGGAGGCAAAAACAGGCCCAGAGTCAGTGTTTCTCATCCTTTTGTGGCTGTTTGACATCCAGGATAGTTTTATATGTTGAAAAAGTGACTATTAATAGATCAACTTAATATCTCTGTGTTATTTTTTGTCAGAAAAGTGAAATGACGCATCATCCAGATGTTTTGATGCTGCGGCTGGGAAGATTTAAGTTCGACAGCTATTACAAATGCTTCAAGAAAATCGATCGTTATGTGGAGTTTCCCTACATGCTGGAGATCCCACACGCTGGAGCTGAGGTACTTTACACTGAATATGTTTATTAAAGTCATTAAAGTTTTACTCCTGCTGCTGATTTCTGTCATTTTCTCTCTTCTCTGGTTGTCAGACTGAGATTTATGAGCTGTACGCCTTTGTGGGATATGTGGTAAAACACAAATATGGAGAGTTCTTTGCAACAATCAAGCCTCAGGATAACGAGAAGTGGTACAACTTCAGCGACCACCATGTCTACGTGGTATGTTTTTCTTTGCTATTAGAAGATATGTCGATACAAAACGTGGAAAAATACAATTTTACTCAAGAAATTGCATCTTTTTCATTTACAGGCTGATTTCCAACCGTTCAAAGTGGACATCAATCACAGGTAACATCACATCTGTCCTGGTCTTCATTATTTTACTGAACATGAACCTGAGCTCAACTTATTTTAACTCCCATCAGGTCCCGGGACGTTTGTCTGCTGTTCTACAGGAAAGGTGAGATTACAAACATTATTAACTCATTGACTGCTAAAGACGTCTATAGACGTCTTTTATGTTTTTCAACGAGAGTGGCTTGGGGGACGATCTGCTAAAGCTTGTCCGTAAATATCAGGCTTCTAGACAGAGTATGTAGTAACAAATTGACCCTCTAGGTGGCAGTGCCACTTTTGATGGGAGATGAGCATAGACTGTAGGCAAATAAGAAAAAGGTAACGGTTCGCTGAAGGTAGAAACAAACATTTTTTCCTGATGAAAGAAGAGAGTCTACTCTTTCTTTTGGTGTGTTCGGTGTTAATATAGTCATAGCACAAACTATTCTGTGGCTCTTGAAAAATCAGTCAAAATGCTCAAAAAACTCTGGCAGTATGGGACTCTCTGTTCTGAAAATGGCTGGCAGTCAATGAGTTAACATGGAAACCGACGAGTTTTCTGACTGACTGGCCTTTTTCTGAGTGAGTCCTTTCTGTTTCTTTTTTTTATCTTTCCAGTTTCTGCTGCAGAGCAGAAGCAGACGGGAGGTCAGGGAGCAGCTGGAGGTGCAAACCAGAGGGGAGGAGGCGCTGTGGGCTCCTCCTCTGAAGCCTCCAAACTCAGCACCACGGTAACAAAGCAGCAGCCCACACCGGTCAACTCGAACCTCCACGTTGCCAGTAAACCTGGAGCTGGCCATCCCGCGGCATCTGCCCCCCCCCCAGGTGAGCAGAACCCCCTCCAGGCTGAGCTTTGGAAGCCAGAGCTGCGGCTAACCTGCCCCTTTTTCCCCTTTTTCCCCCTCCATCCAGAGCCAAAGTACCACGGGCTGTACAACCAGGGCGCCACCTGCTACCTGAACAGCGTCCTGCAGGTCCTGTTCATGACCAGAGACTTCAGGGAGGCCGTGAAGAGGTCAGTACCTGAACGCCTCTGCGTGCCACAAGGCGCAAAAGGCAGATTTAATTTGCAATTTGTACCTCCTTCTTCTTTCTCCTCCTCATAATTTGAACCTCCTGTTTCCGTCTCCTCATCATTTGAACCTCCTTCTTCTGTCTCCTCCTCATTTGTACCTCCTTCTTCTTTCTCCTCCTCATCATTTGAACTTCCTGCTTCTGTCTCCTCGTCATTTGGACCTCCTTCTTCTGTCTCCTCCTCCTCATTTTTACCTCCCTTTTCTGTCTCCTCATCATTTGTACCTCTTGCTTCTGTCTCCTCATCATTTGTACCTCCTTCTTCTGTCTCCTCGT